CTAACAAGCTATCTCCGAACTAATATACAGAAAGATAAAACCTACATAATGTCATGGTATCTCCTCACTAGAAAGCTACCTCCGCACTAATATACAAACAGAAATAACCTACATAATGTCATTGTATCACCACACTAACAAGCCACCCCCGCACTAATATACAGACAGATAAAACCTACATAATGTCATGGTATCTTCACACTAACAAGCTACCTCCACACTAATATACAGACAGATAAAACCTACATAATGTCATGATATCTCAACACTAACAAGACATCTCCGCACTAATATACAGACAGATACAACCTACATAATGTCATGATATCTCCACACTAACATGCTACTTCCGCACTAATAAACAGACAGATAAAACCTACATAATGTCATGATATCTCAACACTAACAAGCTACTTCCGCACTAATAAACAGACAGATAAAACCTGCATAATGTCATGATATCTCAACACTAACAAGACATCTCCGCACTAATATACAAACATACAACCTACATAATGTCATGATATCTCCACACTAACAAGCTACCTCCGCACTAATATACAGAAAGATAAAAAATAATGCCATGGTATCTCCACACTAACAAGCCACCCCCGCACTAATATACAGACAGATAAAACCTACATAATGCCATGGTATCTTCACACTAACAAGCTACCTCCGCACTAATATACAGAAAGATAAAACCTACATAATGTCATGGTATCTCCACACTAACAAGCTACTTCCGTACTAATAAACAGACAGATAAAACCTGCATAATGTCATGATATCTCAACACTAACAAGACATCTCCGCACTAATATACAGACATACAACCTACATAATGTCATGATATCTCCACACTAACAAGCTACTTCCGTACTAATAAACAGACAGATAAAACCTGCATAATGTCATGATATCTCAACACTAACAAGACATCTCCGCACTAATATACAGACATACAACCTACATAATGCCATGGTATCTCAACACTAACAAGCCACCCCCGCACTAATATACAGACAGATAAAACCTACATAATGTCATGGTATCTTCACACTAACAAGCTACCTCCACACTAATATACAGACAGATAAAACCTACATAATGTCATGATATCTCAACACTAACAAGACATCTCCGCACTAATATACAGACAGATACAACCTACATAATGTCATGATATCTCCACACTAACATGCTACTTCCGCACTAATAAACAGACAGATAAAACCTACATAATGTCATGATATCTCAACACTAACAAGCTACTTCCGCACTAATAAACAGACAGATAAAACCTGCATAATGTCATGATATCTCAACACTAACAAGACATCTCCGCACTAATATACAAACATACAACCTACATAATGTCATGATATCTCCACACTAACAAGCTACCTCCGCACTAATATACAGAAAGATAAAAAATAATGCCATGGTATCTCCACACTAACAAGCCACCCCCGCACTAATATACAGACAGATAAAACCTACATAATGCCATGGTATCTTCACACTAACAAGCTACCTCCGCACTAATATACAGAAAGATAAAACCTACATAATGTCATGGTATCTCCACACTAACAAGCTACTTCCGTACTAATAAACAGACAGATAAAACCTGCATAATGTCATGATATCTCAACACTAACAAGACATCTCCGCACTAATATACAGACATACAACCTACATAATGTCATGATATCTCCACACTAACAAGCTACTTCCGTACTAATAAACAGACAGATAAAACCTGCATAATGTCATGATATCTCAACACTAACAAGACATCTCCGCACTAATATACAGACATACAACCTACATAATGCCATGGTATCTCAACACTAACAAGCCACCCCCGCACTAATATACAGACAGATAAAACCTACATAATGCCATGGTATCTTCACACTAACAAGCTACCTCCGCACTAATATACAGAAAGATAAAACCTACATAATGTCATGGTATCTCCACACTAACAAGCTACTTCCGTACTAATAAACAGACAGATAAAACCTGCATAATGTCATGATATCTCAACACTAACAAGACATCTCCGCACTAATATACAGACATACAACCTACATAATGCCATGGTATCTCCACACTAACAAGCCACCCCCGCACTAATATACAGACAGATAAAACCTACATAATGCCATGGTATCTTCACACTAACAAGCTACCTCCGCACTAATATACAGAAAGATAAAACCTACATAATGTCATGATATCTCCACACTAACAAGCTACCTCCGCACTAATATACAGAAAGATAAAACCTACATAATGCCATGGTATCTCCACACTAACAAGCTACCTCCGCACTAATATACAGAAAGATAAAACCTACATAATGTCATGGTATCTTCACACTAACAAGCCACCCCGGCACTAACATACAGACAGAGAAAACCTACATAATGTCATTGTATCTCAACACTAACAAAACATCTCCGCACTAATATACAGACAGATATAACCTACATAATGTCATGATATCTCCACACTAACAAGCTACTTCCGTACTAATAAACAGACAGATAAAACCTACATAATGTCATGGTATCTCCACACTAACAAGACATCTCCGCACTAATATACAGACAGATAAAACCTACATAATGTCATGATAGCTCAACACTAACAAGACATCTCCGCACTAATATACAGACAGATGAAACCTACATAATGTCATGGTATCTCCACACTTACAAGCTACCTCCGCACTAATAAACAGACAGATATAACCTACATAATGTCATGATATCTCAACACTTACAAGCTACCTCCGCACTAATAAACAGACAGATATAACCTACATACTGTCATGATATCTCCTCACTAGCATGATCCTACCGCACAAACATGACACCTCCCACTACCATCATGACTCCCCACAAACATGACACCTCCCACTACCACCATGACTCCCCACAAACATGACACCTCCCACTACCATCATGACTCCCCACAAACATGACACCTCCCACTACCACCATGACTCCCCACAAACATGACATCTCCCACTACCACCATGACTCCCAACAAACATAACATCTCCCACTACCACCATGACTCCCCACAAACATGACATCTCCCACTACCACCATGACTCCCCACAAACATGCCACCTTCGCACTAACATGACTGGCATGCTGCCTTTGAACTAATATGATGCCTCCTCACTAATATGCTGTTTCCACACTAACAACAGACCTCACCACTAACATGATAATACCGCACAAACATGACACCTCCTCACTACAGTGAGACCTCCTTACTAACATATCTCCGCACTATTATGCCACCGCTCCACTGACATGATTGCACAGCACTAATACGAAACATCCAGTTAACTAACAATGAAGGTCTGCATGGATATGGTAACCCAAGATAACATACTGAAAGTTGAAATTACATAATTGTAATCCCCGAGGAAGCACTGTCTCAACAGGGTTGTACACATATTGGCATCTCTACTCTGTATTGTCTGAATACCGTCTGTGTTTGTGCAAGAAAGTTACCGATGTATTATGCATGAATGTAATTACAACATTTCCACTAAATTCTGTTTTATTGCGCGAGTTTGACACCGTTATCTCCTAAAATTGACAATATCCACTGATTTAGCTTATCCTTTTAACACGAGAACATTATTTTGACTGAATGAATAAACACGCCCCAGCTCTTCCTTGCGACAACGCTTGTGTAAACTACTTTATTAATCTTGTGAGGTGGAAACAATTTTTGTTGTATATTCTGCAATCGAAAGAGTCACTATTTGAGAGCGACACATTTATGAAGATTACCATGATTTATTTGTTTGTTTGTTGTTTAACGCCGCACAGCTTTATGAAGGCGGTCTGTAAATAATCGAGTTTGGACCACACAGTCCAGTAATTGACATCATGGGCATAGATCCACGCAATTGAGGCACGATAACATGCATCAACCAAGTCAGCGAACCTGACCACCCGATCCCGTTTGTCGCCTCTTAAGACAAGCATAGTCGACTCTTACAGCAAGCATGGGTTGCTGAAGACCTGTACTACCCCGGATCTTCACGGCTCAGATTAGTATGAGCCACCGTCCGACATGCCAACGATTTAATTTTTGTAAATTTTCAGAACAAATAATCTTTCTTCAGCAGTTTTCTTCAGAATATTTAATTCAGAATATTAAATGTCAGATGTTCAAACCGTCCGACATTTGATATTCCGAATAAAATATTCTGAAAAAATGCTGAAGAAAGAAATGAAATCATTGGCATGATGAATTTTCTGAAAAGTATGTGTTGGTTGTCCTAAAAATGTCTCACTTTTCCTTTCAGAATGAAAACGATGTATGTTTTGATAATGAAACGCGGCCTGAAACAAACAAAACTACCAATACCACCCAAAGCCCGCCCCAATAGTTTCTTTTAAACTATGTTAAATTATGAGGTTACAGTCATCTTAGCACCAAGATCACGGCCCGTGAAGATCCGGGGTAGAATAGGTCTTCATCTACCCATGCTTGCCGTAAAAGGCGACTATGCTTGTCGTAAGAGGCGAATAACGGTATCGGATGACAAGGCTCGCTGACTTGGTTGATTCATGTCATCGATCCTAACCGCTTGATTGACATCCTAACCCAACCAACAACCAAAGACGTCGATCATTGCTCACCATACCGATCACAGGATCGTCTGGTCCAGACTCCATACTTTACAGGTCGCGAACATATTGCTGGAATATATATGGCTGTTTTCGGCTTTAAACACCTAAAAACAAACAAACAAACACAATCTTTGAAGTGTCTATGATCTGCGTCATAATTTTGTACACACACACAACACTAACACGTTATCACTGGCTTTAAAGACAGTTAACTCCTTCTCTCGTTTATTTCTTAACGAAAACGTTGATTCAAACATCCAAGATTATAATGATAATACTTATATTAAAATGAAGGTTTATAACTGCTCTTTTGTTTATTCACAGGAGTATCCAGCCATGAGATGTCTTACTTACGACTTTGACTGCGACAACTGAACAAACATGGATTTACTGGGAGAAAAGGCCCATCACTATGGGAAAGAACCGCAACCAGTCATAGCATTGATTGTGAACCTGACGTCATCGGATGTCGGGTATCACGTGGCTGTTGACAATCGATCCTGTTTGACAAATGAAACCTCGGACTACGAGGGGTTTTATCGTCGTGCACAGTACGTCACAGGCTTGATTATATATCCGATATTGTGCATCATTGGCATCACTGGAAATGTTCTTGCTCTGATTGTGTTAAGCCATAGAGATATGGCAACGTCAACCAATGTGTATTTGTCAGCTTTGGCGGTTTCCGACACAATCAAACTCTTCAATGACCTTTTGTACTTTATAATGGTCGTACTATTTCTGAACGATGCAGAACTCTCGGAGAAGATGAAAATCACACTGTATCCATTTGCCCATTACATATTTAACATGGCTGTGTGTATCACAGCCTGGTTAACTGTCTCCGTTGCCATGGAGCGCTACATCTCTGTGTGTCACCCTTCCCGTGCGAAACAGCTATGCACCATTTCCCGCGCTCGGTTGGTGTGCGCTATAGTGTTCATCATGATGATCCTTCTGTCTCTCCCATCACTGTTCAGATATAAGGTAGAGACTTTTCATGACATCAAGAACAATATTACATGCAGTGAGTTTATCCCGACGGACCTTGGTAACAATGATGCCTTCATGGTACCCTATACATGGATCCAAAACGCTCTGAGAGCTATTATCCCCCTTTTCGTTCTGATTTACCTAAACGCCCGTATTATCAACGAGTTGCGTAAAGAACGAGTAAAGGGTAAGCGTCTCTCCTCCAGGAACCGCATCACTCTGATGCTCATCATAATAATCCTCGTCTTCACCATCTGCATCACACCCGACGCCGTCATGTCGACGTTCTTTGGCAAAGGCTACGTCGAGGAGGGGAACCTGGTCAAGGGCATCCGCGAAATTACAGACTCCCTGCTTGCCGTCAACTCCGCGTTTAATTTTCTTTTGTACTGTGCCCTGAGCATTGTTTTCCGCAACACCTTCTTGAGGATATTCTGCGCATGCCGACCCGAACTTGTTCCAAAAGACACACGCCGAAGCATGCGAAACGGAAGTACCCATGTGATAAGGAACAATTCAAAAGACGAAGATAAGACACAGACGAATGCACAGGAGACATATGTGTGACCCAATGTGTGCATTGACATTCATACCATAACGGCCTTTTGTTCAGTTTGCGTTGCTAGCTGCGTTGTTTTGTTTTCATAACTTGTGCCACTTGTATCAATAAATATTAAACGTGCCCGCTGAAGCCTTGTAACTTGAGAGAGAGAGACACCTACATGAACGACCTTGATACTTATTCTTTGTATGTTAATGAGTCCATCAAGCTTCTTATACCTAAGATGACTATGCTCATTTGGTGAATTGAATAAAACAAATAGAAATAAATCTGTTATAGTTCATAGAAACCCCCCCAACCATTTCTATCATTTATGTATGATATGAGGTCTGTACCTGGTTTGCAGGAAGCATTACAGCGCATGTTTTGACAATATGTGCACATGCACGACATATGTTAAATATTTCCATCACTGCAGCTTTAATTCGATCTCAGTACATGGATAAGCACTCTTGTAATGAGTGGTAAGTTTGAATAAGAGATTAATTGTCAGCCTTTGCTGATTCCACATTTTAAAACACTGTCACCTTCCGGAATAGAATAAATATCCTACAACCTATGCTTTTCATAAGAGCCACTAAATTGGTCGGTGATCAAGCTCGGCGATTTGGTTGATTGCGTTTCGCCGTAACTCGACGCGATATGACGTTTCTCATAACATTAATCACTGGCTTGTCTAGTCCAAATTTGTTTATAAACTGAGGAGCAAAAGAAATTATAGCTCTCAGTTAATTTTCAATTGAAAATATCATATGTTTGAGATATCATATAAAAAATGAACAGGCGTGTGTTGACGTTTCGACAGCAATCGATGAGTACTAAAAAATATAATTTGATTTAAAACTTTAAAAAAGGAATTGGCATAATACAGAACTGCTGGTGGGTTTCTAAGACATTAAGTCAATAAATTTCCTTTTTTCGGCACATATATTTACATTACAAACATGGTGGGGGTCATGTGGTTGCCAATTTATTTCTTGCCCAGCCTTCATTGAACTAATTTAGTTTTACATAGAATTACGAGGCCACAGATTACTTTTTACAAACTGTTGCAGGAATGAGTGATGTTTAGATAGGCGTGATCAAATTCAACAACAGTTCTTTCAATTTTCAATTACTTTAAAAACACGGTGTACTTTTTTAGCCCCTCAGTTCATATGTGCCGCCGTCATATAGTTGGACGATTGCAGAAGGCGAGATTAGAAAATATAGAGACAAAACAAGAATTGCCCTAACCATTTGACGTACATCCATACAATAATGATAGAGTAGGCACAGTGAGGTAATCGTGAATAGAAACAAACCCAGCACAACCAGAGAACATATTTGTAGTATACACATTAGCATGTTCATGGATCGTGTTCTGTTTTCGTGTTCAACGATTTTACTCATAATCGCGGAGACGAAGGGAGTTCAGAACATGCGAACACAGCTGCTGCAACTTACACGTTAATAACGTACATGTAGTAACGCCTGTAATGTAATATTTCAACGTTCTGAGTGCATTACTACATCTGGGGCCACGGGTGGCCCAGTCGTCTAAGGAGCCGCGATTCGCTGTGCAGAGTTGCGTCCCTTGGGCACGCCAGAAACCTATGATTGTGGGTTCGAATTCCGGTTCGCCCCGATTATGTTTCTAGGTTTGTCAGCACCATACCCGTGCTCGTGGGTTTCACCGAAGTGGTAAACGTCTGAGACCAGCATCACTTCGGGCTTTCATCCCACATTAAGCTGACACGCCGCGATATAACTAGAATATGTTAGAGTGGCGTTAAAACCCAAATCACAGACGCCCGCATAACTACATCTGTATATAGTATAGAGTTACGAATGCTGTAGAACTGATAAAAACTGAGTCATCAAACAGATGTATAATCAATATTTCCTCATGGAAATAGACGCTACAAAACACTTTTCATAATCATAAGAAATATCCGTTGAACGATTTCGTCTCTATCATGACTATGTGTTTATGAGTAACTATCAAATGATGATACCAGGTGTTCGCGAAAAGGCGAACCTGTCCTATACTACCGGAGAAGCCCGGCACAAAGGAGAATCAATTTTCACCTGAAATGCCCGGAAACGTCACTGGCATGGTGCAAGTCAAAATAGGGATTGCATCACATATAATTTTCATCACTGAATCTCCAGCACATATTCACCATAAACGTTTGGAAAGCTTAAGTAAGTGAGTGAGTTGGGTTTAACGCCGCTTTTAACAGTATTCAAGTTATATCACGGTGTGTCACCTTCATGTGGGAGGAAAGCCCGAAGTGATGCTGGTCTCAGACGTTTACCACTGCGGTGAAACCCACGAGCACGGGTATGGTGCTGACAAACCTAGAAACATAATCAGGGCGAACCGGGATTTGAACCCACAATCATAGGTTTCTGGCGTGCACAAGGGACACAACTCTGCACAGCGAATCGCAGCGCCTTAGACGACTGGGCCACCCGTTCCCCCCTTAAGTAAAGTTGTTTTTTATCAAGAGTGTTATGACGCTTTTGAAATTGTATCTTAAAAGTTGTGAAATGTGGACATTAAGGGCTTGATATGGGATTATTGCTCGACATAAAGGTAAGTTCATGAGTTGAGTGTTACGCCGATTTGAACAGTATTCTAGTCATATCACGGCGTCTTAGCGTAATGTGGGAGGAACGCCCAACGCTATGCAGGTCTTAGACATGTTTGGTGAAACCTACGAGCGCGGGTATGGTTCTAACAAACCTTGAAACATAATCGGGGGAGCCAGGATTCGAACCCACAATCAACGTTTTCTGTCGTGCCCAAGGAACGCAACTCTGCACAGCGAACTGAGGAGACTTAGACGACTGGACCACTCGTGCCTCAACTGATGGAAGTCAACGTGGCATATGAATATATATGATACTACCATGTTAACCATGAAACACGTATCCAATGGGACTAAACTTAGTGATTGGGGTAGCCTAGTGGTTAAAGCGTTCGCTCGTCATACCGAAGACGCGGGTTCGTTTCCCTACATGGGTATCATGTTTGTGAAGCCCATTTCTGGTGTCCCCTGCCGTGATATTGCTGGAATATTACTAAAAGCGGCGTAAAACCATACTCACTCACTCTTCGCGGGTGGTTGATTGCACTTATTGTGATTGTTATGACTATATAGTAACATGTGAATCTTCAAAGGTTTAGGGCTGTTTGTCAAAAATGAAAGCAAATAATATCATCCAAAGTTTACAGAGAAAACAATATGACAATGCACTGGCAAAATAGCATGCACTTTAATGGCTTGTATCAGCCTGACAAGTGTAATATATCATAAATATTCTATTGTTTGGCTCAAATGCCTTATATAGTTCACGCTCTCTGTTATGCAATACAAACATTACATATTAATGGCTGCCACAAACCTTCCAATCACTTTACATTGAGTAAGTGGCATCCCACTCGCTCGAGCAGCCATATACAATGGAACCTCGTAAATGTGGAAATGTATCTATCTATCTAGTCAGTTATATTAATACATTAATCCTTCAGTTTGTTAATCCATACAATTTCACACTCGGGAACGGTACTGTCGATCTGATGTATGCTATATAATGCGAGAGATTGTAAAATGGGTGAATATATGCAATAATACAGCATCTTGACGTCGAGGGACCAAGGTGAGTGAGTGGGTGAGTGAATGAGTGAGTGAGTGCTGTACCAAATTTAAAAAAAATAATACAAAAAGCAAAACGTATACAAGTGTTTTTTGAAAGATCAGACTAAAATAAAAACACGATACATTATTATGAATTTTGTAAATTAATATTTCGAAAAAGGATAATCTCCTTAAACTATGCCCAAGTTTTAAGTAATAAATCCGAAAATATGAATGAGCTTTATGTTTTCATGATAACCAATCAATATTCATTTGTCTATGAACACTACCGATTGCAATTATTGTGCAAGAAACAATAGCAGGGTTGCGATACAGGATGTAACCGGAACCTCTTGTAACCAGTAATCTTATACTTCCGAGCTCGGAACAAATACCATTAGCCATTTTTAAACAAGGAACCAAGGTCGCGTTAAAAGTTCGTTTATATAAGTATTGCTTACGTCAAGGACTAGCAGTCGTGTAAAAGACAAGAGTTAGGATAAATAATCGATTGTGTTATTGTAACTCTGGCATGAAAGTCTTTCAATGGATGTTACAGAGTGTTGCACGTCCATTGTCCTCAACCTCCAACCGATGATTGATAGTTTCGACACCAAAGCTTTAAGATTTACAATCGATATTGTGGGATTTTTTCCTGCGACTTCCAAAGTTTTTGCTTTTCCCCGCGAATTATCGTTTTTGCTATCCATAGGTGCGTAAACCAATTCAAATAAAAACGCTTCTGGGTAATTGTCAATAAACTGAGAGGACGAAAAACATCTCTGTCAGGAAATTGTTTTATTGATGAGATAAGGAAACAGGAAATTCTGTAAAAATGCGTAATTACAGAAAATATCCAAACTTTGAAGATGCAACTGGAATTTATATACCTAGACCAATTCCCATTAGAGACAGGTGAGGTGAGGTGAGGTGAGGTGAGGTGAGGTGAGGTGAAATGGGGTTTAACGTAGCGTCTAAGATTATTGCACTTATATAGCGACGTACATGCACGTGTGTGTGGCTGCTTGTACTAGTCCGGACTGATGCCGATTTATAGTGCTAGCCCACTGAGATACCATACCGCAGTTTAACATGAATACCCCACTCAGACATAGTATACTGACCCCGAGCCGACTAGTCCCCGTTTTAGCCCCTTAAGGCTGAACGCCAGACAGGGTAACAACAAGTACCATCTTTTAACGTCTTTTGGTATGACGCGGCCGTGGATCGAACTCCGGACCTTCCGCTCTCCTGGCGGTCGCTCTACCATTAGACCACGGAGGCGGTCATTAGAGACAGGTACATTTGTAAACATTTGAGTCTGTATAAAGTGAAATGTTTGGACAAGAATGTCTGCCTCAGCACAATGGCTTACAGTGAATGCTTAGAAGGGATGGTGAATAGTGGATATTAAGCTTTGAAGGGTGAGATATCTATGATGGATAGTGGATGGTGAATAGCGGATGTTGGAACATGAGTTCGGGATAGTACTCTCTG